CCTCGTTTTTTCATATTTTAGGGCAATAAAACTGAAATTTTGCCCGATTCCCAGATTGGCCCGAGCCACCGGACCTAGGTCACCTAATTTTTTTTGGGCCTATCAAAAACAACATAATGAACAATCGTCATTGCTTTGCCATGATCATTCCTCTTTTTGGCGTTTTAGGGCCATAAACAGGATTTAGGACGATTCCAGATTTTCGTATGCTATATTCCACGTCATATGCATAAATTTAGGTGACTCACTCCAAACCTACTAAAACTTTGCGGGCCCATAAAAAATGGTCTAACAAATAGTAGTCATCGCTTCGCCATGACAGTTTCATTTTTTGGCATTATAGGGCCATAAAACAGGAATTCAAGACGATTCCCAGATTTTTGTGTTTTAGTACTCCCTCCATTTCAAATTAGATAAGGTACTTTCCTTTTTAGTCTGTTCCAAAATAGATGACACATTTCTAAATTTGTAAATAATCAACTTTAAACTCTTCGTTTTACCCTTAATGAGAAACCTTTATAACCACACAAATGTCATAGCCCCACAAAGTTTTTACCCCTTAAACTTTTAAGAGTACAATTTTCAAAAGTCTTCTTCTTTTTTCTTAAACTCTGTGCCGAGTCAAACTACCTCATCTAAATTGATATAGAGGGAGTACATGCAAATTTTGTAGAATTTTTTAGATAGATTAAAGTTTGCTCGAAATTTCGTGACCAATACATATCACTTCTCCATGACTTTCGGATTTTTTTTTGGGTATTTTTGGATCATGCGACACAAATTTGTGAGTATATTCACTTTTTTGTGTGTGTTAGTACATGTTGATTCATAGAATTTTTAAGACAGACTCCGATTGACATAAAATTTTATAAGTCCCTAAAAAACAGCCTAGTGACCAATACTCATTGCTTTTCTATGACTTTCATATTCATTTCATATTCATATAACCCCCTTGATCTATACCCGAATTTTCAACTACACACTTTATCTTTGCGGGAATCCTATTACCCCCCCATAAATTATTTTTTAATGGAATAAATACCACCCTAAAACTAGACAACCAAACTCTTGGCAAGCGGTGAAGTACACGTGCTGTCACATGTATTTATAATATTTTTTTTATTCTTTCTTCTTTTTCTTATCCTTTTTTCTTATTTATTATTATTCTCATTTTTTTGGTTATTTCATTCTCTTACTTTTTGTTTTGGCCACCGGCAGCATAAAATGGTGGTCGTCGGAATTTCAAGAACACCATTTTTTTACGGAGAATTTTTTTTCCCGACGATAGATTTTTATCCCGATCTGAGTATATTTTGCTTTGCTTATGAATAGATCTTTTTGAGAGTTTAATTTGTGTATGATAAGGATAGAAAGAGAAAAAATTAAAAAAAAAATGGAAGAAAAACGGTAAGATAAAGTCGTCGCGAATGAATTATCCGCCGGAACTAGAGAAGAAACGAAAAAAAGACAAAGAAAAAGGAAAAGGGAAAAAAAGTAAGAAAAAATGGTAAAAAAAAAAAAGCAAAAAGAAAAATCTGAAAATCATTTTTTCTTGCTTTTCACTCTCCCAAAGGAGAGTGAAATACACACACTCTGCCACGTCAACTTTAAGGGTACAAATAATTCTACTTTAAAATAGTTTAGGAGGTAATAAAAAACCCCGCAAAGGTAGAGTGTGCAGTTGGAAATCCGGGTATAGGTCAGGGGGTACTTATGCATTTTTCCTTCATTTTATGAAGTTTCGTGGTCATGCAACACGAATGATTTTGCAGAATTTTGTTGATAGACTCCGATTCACCTAAAATTTTGTACGACCATAAGAAACTGCCTAGTAACCTATATTCATTGCTTTGCCATGACTTTCACGTTTATTTCATGGCTTTTGTGGTCATACAATATGAATTTGTGATTATATCTACTTTTTGCATGTATTAGTATAGACATCGATTGGCCTTAAATATTGTATGTTTATAAGAAATGGCCTAGTGACCAACAATTATTACTTCGTCATAACTTTTGGATTCATTTTATGGTGTGTCGTGGTCATGCAACACGAATTTGTGATTATATCTACTTTTTCGTGTGTATCAAATTTGTCATACATGCTGACTTTGTAGAATTTTGTTGATGAACTCTGATTGGCTTGAAACTTAGTAGATCCATATGAAATGGCCTAGTGACCAATATTCATCGCTTTGCCACGGCTTTCAGGTTTATTTTATAGTATTTTGGAAGCATGCAACACAAAATTGTGATTATACATTTTTTGTGTATTAATACATGATATTTTTGTAAAAAAATATTGACAGACTCTGATTGGCCTGAAATTTTGTTGGTCCATAGTAAACGGCCTAAAGATCAATACATTGCTTCGCTATGATTTTCAAATTTATTTTTGGTGTTTTGATATCATACAACATAAATTTGTAATTATATTAACTTTTTGTGTGTATTAATACATGATTTTGTAAAAAATAAAAAATAAAAAACATCCGACAAACTCTGATCGGCTTGAAATTTAGTAGGTCCATTAGAAAAATAACCTAGTAACCAATACTCATTGCTTCGCTTTTTGGCGAACTCCGATTGGCTTCAAATTTTGTAGGTCCATAATAAACGACCAAGTGACCAATACTCATCACTTCGTCATGACTTTAGGATTCATTTTTTTTTGTATATTGGGATCATGCAACACGTATTTATGATTATATCCATTTTTGTGTATATTAGTACATGCTAATTCTGTAAAAGAAAATTGACGGACTCATATTGGCCTGAATATTCGTAGGTCCATAGGAAACAAACTACGCATTTTGTGGTCATGCAATACAAATTTTTGATTATATCCACATTTTTGGTAGTACATGTTGATTTTGTAGAATTTTTTGACGGAGTCCGATTGGCTTGAAATTTTGTAGAGCCATAGAAAAATGGTCTAATTACCAATACTCATTGCTTCGTCATGACTTTCGGGTTTCTTCTATGGCTTTTCGAGATCATGCAATATGAATTTGTGATTATATCCACTTTTTTGTATGTATTAGTACATGCTGATTTTGTAGAATTTTTTGATGGACTCTGATTCAATTAAAACTTTGTAGGTCCATAAGAAATGGCCTAGTGACCAATACTTTGCTTCGCCATGGTTGTTGATTTCATTTTATGGCGTTTCATGGTCCTACCACACTACTTTGTGATTATATCTACCTTTTCGTGTGTATTAGTACATGCTGATTTTGTAGAATTTTTTTAATGGACTCTGATTATCCTGAAATTTCATAGGTCCATAATAAACGACCTAGTGACCAATACTCATTGCTTTACCATAATTTTCGGGTTTATTTTTTGGTGTTTTGAGATGTAATTAACTTAAATGTAAAGCACAAATAATCATTTTATGTGCTTCTTCCCTCGCAGGGTGCAACCAAAGCCAAACACCATCGGAAGCAAAAATCTACAAGCCGCTCTTTTTGCTGATCTGACCCATAAAAAAAACTATTTCATGTGCTTCTTGGTTTTGAAATTGGATAATATTAACTAAACTAGGGCGGATTTACATGCTAGTTTTAGGTGCTCAAGCACCCATTAACCTTGACGTAAACTAGGTACAGCTATAATAAAAATATAAGAAATAGGATATAATATTTTAGTGAGCACCCAATAAACAAAATGATTGATGGGTGTTGTGGTTCTGAAGTTGAAGTTAAAACCTTTCCTGAAAGCAAAGACCCAGGTTCGATTCCTGTCACAGCATTGCCTTTATATTTTTGAATGTCAGCTTTTTGTCTTTTATAGAAAAGTTTTTAACTTTTCCTATTCCCTTTAGGTTGTCACATTACGTTTTAGTTTAACTTTTCGTATTCCTTTTACGTTTTCCTATCTTTTTAGTTTTTAACCTTTCTCTGCTTTTGAACTAAATTTTCCTTTTTTAGTTTTTAGTTTTTCCTTTTCCTACTTCCTTTCACCTTTAGGCTTTATTATATTAATAATTAATTAGATTTAAGTATAAGAAAGGCCATCTTTACAGTCTTACAGAAAAGTTTAAAACAAACCCTTCTTGAATTTTTGCTCATTAGGAACGTAGAGAAGGGGAAAATGAAGAACAAAGTAGACGAAACAATGAGCAAACTCTCCGGTCATTCACAACAATCTCAAAATCAGATTATCAGAACATAGCACAAGGTAATAAGATTTGGTATTTTTATTAAAGTAAGAAATTAAAAATATTCTTAGAAGGATTTTTTTTCATGCTTATCGCTTATTCTTTGAAAGCAGATTCAATGAAAAATATTATCTTTGTTACCAACTTGCTTGATTCCAAAACTTAACTTTGAGAATATATGCAGGTTAGTAATATTGGTGGGTCGTGCGATTAATGAAATTGTGCTCATCAACTCATTGCTTCAGAAATTTGTAAGTTTTCATCTTTTCTTTCGAAAAATTAAATAGTTATATCATTATTGCCGTGGTGTTTGTGTTGTTGATTGAGGGGCATGGTTTTCCCAATATAAATTAATTAAATTATGTGTAGTAAATTTCTGATGAAATTAAATTGAACTAAATCTTGTTTGTAGGAATTCTTCACCAATCTTTTGTGTCGAGATGGATAAGTTTATCACAAGATCAAAAGTTGGGCAACCAAGTTCTTTTCTACTCATCCATCTGTTGCGTCATCCGTAGCCCCGAAAATTCAAAGGGATATATCTCTTTCAGATCATAACTTAGGATCTCCCAATACTGACCCGGGGGATAGGAAGTCCATTGCAGAATATAGCCCTAATATACGAGATGAAATTAGAAGACATTATATTCAAGTGGGACCTTGCCAGCCTACGAGTCATGATTTTCCTAAAACTAAGTTTGGGAAGACAATGCGTCAGTTTTATCCTGGTTGGTTTAAGGGTCAACATTCAAAGTGGTTGGAGCACAGTATATCAAAAGATGATGCATATTGTTTGTGTTATTATTTATTCAAAAATGAACATGAAATTCATGGAAATATGGGGGATGTTTTTACAAAAAATGGCTTTAAAGGTTGGAACAAGGCTATAGAAAGATTTAGAGCTCATGTTGGAGAGGTAAGTAGCATCCACAACAAGTGTTTCAATAGGATGATTGATTTAATGAATCAATCACAATCAATTCGCACTTCTTTTGAAAAGCAATCCGAGAAAGAAAAAATGAGTCTCGATGTTGCTTGAGTGCTTCAATCGATGTGGTTAGGTTTCTTTTGAGACTAGGATTGCCATTTCGTGGGCACGATGAGAGTCAATCTTCTACAAATAGAGGTATCTTTCTTGAACTCTTGCAATGGCATGGAGATATTGATCCGGATATTGGAAGTATTATATTAGAAAATGCTCCAAAAAATGAAATGATGTGTTCCCCAATGATTCAGAAAGATATTGTTGATGTTTGTGCCAAAGAAGCAATCAAAGCTATCATTGAAGACTTGGATGGGGATTTTTTCGGGATACTAGTTGATGAATCAAAGAATATATTGCACAAGGAGCAAATGACACTTGTTTTGAGATATGTTAACAAAGAAGGCGAAGTAATTGAGAGATTTGTTGGTATTGTTCATGTCAATAATACATCTTCTCAATCATTGAAGAAGGAAATCGACTCTTTTCTTTCGTATCACTCATTAAGTCCATCTCAAATACGTGGGAAAGGTTATGATGGAGCTAGTAACATGCAGGGAGAGCTACATGGTCTTAAGACTTTGATTCTGAATGAAACTCCATCGGCGTATTGCATTCATTGTTTTACCCACCAATTGCAGTTAACACTTGTGGCTCTTGCAAAGAAGCATTCAGATGTAGATGACTTTTTTTGTATAGTTACTAATGTGTTAAATATTGTTGGATCATCTTTTAAGCGCAGGGATTTGCTTCGACAACATCAAGTTAAAAAATTAGATGAGTTGCTCATATCAGGTGAGGTGCATACTGGACGAGGACTAAATCAAGAACGTGGGCTTCAACGACCAGGTGATACTCGTTGGGGTTCTCATTATAGAACGTTAAATAACCTCATTGTCCTATTTTCATCAATTATTCATGTTCTTAAATTTGTTGCTCTTGAGGGTCCAAATTATGCCGATAGACTTGTTGCTGAAAGTCTTATGACTAAGATTAAGGAATTTGAATTTGTTTTTATGTTGCACTTGATGTGGAAAGTTCTAATGATGACAAATGATTTGAGCTCCTCATTACAAAGGATGGATCAAGATATTGTCAATGCTATGGGACTCCTCACTCATACAAAGCAAAGATTACAAAGGATGAGGAATAGTGAATTTCAATCATTAATGGATGATGTCTCTTCATTCTGTGATAAACATGAGATAATGATCCCGAAGATGGATGCTCTCTATTTTCCTGGCAAGTCAAAGCGTAGAGCTCTTGATGTTACATACTCTCATCACTTGCATGTTGAGATATTTAATGGTGTTATTGATTTGCATCTTCAAGAGCTTAGAAGTCGTTTTGATGTCGTGAGTACCGACTTACTTCTCGGTATGGCTAGTTTAAATCCACTTAATTCATTTGGTAATTTTGATAAGAACAGGATAATGAAGTTGGCTGAATATTATCCCAATGAGTTTGATAGCAACAAGCTTCGGGATCTTAGTTTCCAGCTTGATAGTTTTGTAGTTTATGCTCGTGGTCATGACAAGAGGTTCTTCAACATGAAGGGAATTAGTGACCTTTCTAAAGTATTGGTTAAGTCAGACCTGCGTTAAACTTGGCCACTGGTGTATTTACTTATCAAGTTTACTCTCATTCTTCCTGTTGCTACCGCTTCTGTGGAACGTGCTTTCTCATCCATGAACTACATAAAAAATGAGCTTCGTAATAGCATAGGTGATGAATTTTTAAACAGTTGTTTAGTTTGCTATGTAGAGCGTAAGATATTCTCAACTGTGAGCAACGATGCCATTATTCATCGTTTTCAACATATGAAAAGTCGTCGATCACAGTTGTGAATTGTGATTAGAAGTCCTTTTGGTAATAATAATACTATTAGTAGTTCATTATGACTTGTGACTAAAAGTATTTGTTGGTAATGAAAATATTATTAGTAGTTTTCATATTAAGTCTTTTACTCTTGCATTCGAATAATTGTGCACTTATACTATGCGATTGATAGCACCTTTATATTAAAGGAAGTGAGCACCCATAACCTTAAAATCTTAGATCCGCCACTGAACTAAACAGAAGTAGAAAAGGTAAGGATGGAAAATTTACAGTGAAGAAAGCTGAGGAAAAAAAAGAGAAGCAATACACCATGTGTTGTTTCATCTTGCCTCCATCTCTGCTAGCAATATACACACGAGAGGGTTTTAATGATAGTTCAGGGGGTTTTGGAGATACACGACATTTTAAATATGTAACTGACAAAAATCTGATAGTTTAGAGAGATTTTAGGGTATTAGCTCTATTTAATATTAATATTAAATGTAACTTTTAAATATTTCTCTTCTGCTGCAGCATGGAAGTTAATGATCGAAAAACGAATTCTTCACAGGGAATGGTAATGCCCATATCGTGATTAAACCCGAACTCCTCTTCGGCACGATGGAGAAGGGACTTAAACTTAGGGTGAGCTAAGAAAGAAATTGGTATAATATATCGGGTTCGGTTCTCTCCTACGTAGACAGCAAAATGGCCTTTAGGGACATCAGTGGGAAGACCATCTTCATCGTCATAGCCATTTTTCTTTCCCAAACTTGAACACCTTTTCAAGATTTTCTTTAGCACAACAGCTTGTGGCAACTTGTTTGATTTTCTTATGGCCATTTCATCGATATTTCGGGTAGACTTGTATAGGTTTGTGACTGCGGGTTCGAACGTATAATCTAGCTTCTATATAAGTAGAGAGTTTGTATTTGTGTCTCAAAATAGTGATATATGTATAGTGATACTTCTCACCATTTGATTTAGATGTTTTTAGAATATATGTCTCCACATGAAACAATACATGCAGACGGTTTGTTGAAGTATGTGTATTCTAGAAGGACAAGGTGGGGTTCAAAACCCATTGGGTTTACATTTGTATGTTTGCCCTCTTACTGGCAAAGGGGCCCCAAAACCTTGTCATTCTATGTTTAATTCTAAATTTTTATCCTTGCTACTAAGTAGTCCTTTGGATTTGTTGTTCATCAAGCATAGGTTTTGGGCCCGCAAGGTTCCATGAGTGGTTTTTCATATGGGAGACTTGGGATTGACTCCCGTCACCAGTAGTTAAAGTTCGTCACATCGGATTTGTCTAGTGTTGTTTACAATTCTTGTATGGTTTGCGAGCATTGCATAATGAGCACGTTACCAAATGCCCAACCGAAAAGTAGCAGCTGTAGGTTTTTTCTGGATATTTTCCAAAAACAAACACATAGGTTTTGGAGCATTGAATTTGATTTCTGTTCTGGTCTAGTGTTCTGGTAAACAATATTTATGAAGGCAAGAAACATAGTTTTGACAGCCGAAGGATAGTTGCAAATTTTCAACGTCCAGGCTTTAATGGTATTTGTTTCCATTTGCAGCATTCTGTCTCAACTTGTTCTAATGTTTTTATATTTCAAATGAATATATAGTGGTTCACTTGTGCGTCGCTTCATATCTACTATCGTAGCTATTGTTCATCTTTTTATTTATTTTTTATTTTTTGTGACTACGAGTCGTAGTTTATATTATATAAGAGATACATTTTTCTTTTTAGTCTATCCCAAAAAGATAAATGTCACATTTTTATATTTAAAAATATCTTAACTTGAAATTCTCATTTTTTACCCTATGATTTATAGCTACACAAATATCTCAGGATTGGTTTAAATTACAAGTTTTAAAAGTCTTACATTCTTATTTTCTTAAACTTCGTGCTTAATCAAACAGTACCAAATAAATTAAGACGGAAGGGATATTTATTCTTCTACGTACGCAATAAAATTTTTGGAATATATAGAAATCGTATTTAACCCATCTTTGAAAGAAAATGTGAGAAAAGGGTCCAAATTGAAGTTGTTTAGTAAACAACGTCCTCGTTATATTAGCAAAGAAGACTACGTACTATGGCCTTTGCTCATATGTAAAGGGGACTCCCCTACTTTACATTGAAATTACAAGCTAAGAAGTCATTTCTATACATCTTCTGTACATTATCCACCTAAGCAAAAAGAGTTTTTGACTTGCCTGATAGTGAATGATTCTTAGATTGTGCATTTTCACTATACTATCTTGCATGGGTTTATAGTTCTGAAATATTCCCGCTTAGACAACATGCTCAAGGTTGTAGTTAGGGGTGGCAAATGGATAAAAGAAAATAGTTTTTTTTTTTGGTGGAATGAAAAGATTTTATTCATCACCAAAATAAAGTACAATGAGCAAACAAAAACACATTCTATCATCTAGCTATATATAGAAAGTCCCGTACTTAGTTATGCCCAAGTAAGTCTATTTGTTATCCTATTCTGTACAAATATTATTCATGTCTATCTCCTATCTATCTATCTATCTATCTATCTATCTATATACTTCTTCCAGCCATCTCCTATCCTTGTCCTTTTTCCGCTTGCTGAGTATCTCCATCACTCGAACTCTGCATTCTTTTTTAATTTGATCGTATACTCTGTGTGGTCTAGGAACTGAGCTCTGCCATATATAGGGCTTCCTTTCTCCCTTCCATATGTGATAGTTTATTGCTGCCAATACCGCATAAGAGAACTCCTTGCTTAGTTTGCCTCCCATTTTCCTGGCTACTCTTTTCCATAGGTGTTGTCCTTCAAATTTTGTGATTCGTATCTTTAATCATTGGAGTACTTCAGTGATGCATAGCTTGGAGAATTGACACTAATATAATAGGTGTTCAATAGTTTTTGGTGCATTTTCACATAGTACACATAGGCCATCTGAGTTGATTCCTCTGAGAGCTAGCCTATCCTTTGTGAGTAGCTTCTTTTGCATAGTCAACCAGCAAATGAAGCTATGTTTTGGAATATTTTGCTTGTTTTAGACCCATCTTCCCCATTAGCATGTGTCCAGGTTTCCCTTCAGCCATGAGTAGCCTTTTTTGATTGTATATCTCCCTGTTTGTGATTTCCATCCTCCATGAGTATAACCCCCTGCAAGTTTGTCTCTTATGTGGCATATTTTCTTCCAATACCAGCTACTATCTTATGGTACATTGTACCACCACCAATATATTTTTTAGGTAGATGTGGTTGATCCATTCGACCCAGAGAGAGTCAGTCTTTTGAGTTATGTCCCATACGTACTTTCTTATGGCTGCCTCATTCCATGCTATACAATCCTTTATCCCAATCCCTCCCTCTTTCTTTGGTCGACAAATGAGGTCCCAGGCCACTAGTGGTAGCTTATTTTTTTCCACCTTACCATCCCATAGATAATTGCGACAAATTGCTGTTATTATTTTGAGCACTGCTTTGAGAAGTATGAAAATCGATGCCCAATATGTATGAATATGCATCAACACCGCATTGATCATTTGCACTCTCCCAACATAGGATAAGTTATTTGAACCCCAGCTCCTTATTTTGGTTGTTAGTTTGTCCACTAACACATGGCAATCCATTTTTTATAGATTCTTAGATGATTTTGGAATACCCAAGTACTTGAAAGGGAGTCTGCCTCTGATGTATCCTGTTATTTCACATAAACCCTCTATCTTCTGAGTCTCCATATTGACAGCAAATATGTTGGACTTGCCTGCATTGGTTGTTAGTCCTAAAGAGTTGGAAAATGCATGCTTGAAGTCCTCTTAACATCAGCATAACAGAGTGGAACTCTCCTTTGCAAAAAGGAGTACACCATCTGCAAAGCATAGATGATTGATCTGCAAACTTTTACATTTGGTATGATAGCCAAAACTCTCCTGCTGTACCACTAGGTTCATTATTTTGGTGAAATATTCCATACATATTACAAACAGTAGAGGGGATATGGGATCCCCTTATCTCAGGCCTCTCTTCCCTTTTATGCTCGCATATAACCCTCCATTTATAGCCATAGTATACTGAGTAGTCGATATGCATTCCATGATCCACCTTATGAACTTCATAGGAAAATTGAGTGCATGTAACATCTCCTCTACAAAATCCCATTCTATGGAGTCATAGGTCTTCTTAAGGTCTATTTTAACCAAGCGGCTCTTGGTTGATGCTTTCCTATTATATAATTTGACTAGGTCTTGGCAAATCAATATGTTCTACATGATTGTTCTTCCAGCTACAAAAGCACTTTGATTTTCAGAAATTATGTTTGGCAAGATGATTTTAAGTTTATTACAAAGTATTTTGGATATGACCTTATACACTGTGTTACAACAGGCAATAGGTATATAGTCCCTAACTGCTTCTGCATGGCTGCTCTTAGGAATTACAGTAATCACTATGTTGTTGATTACCTTTAGCATCTTCCCTGATTGAAGAACTCTAGTACTCCCTCCTTCAGGTCTTTTCTGATTATGTTCCAGCTATCTTTAAAGAATTTGCTACCATATCCATCAGGACCTGGAGCTTTTTCCCTATCAATTTTCCATAAAGCCTATTTGACCTCCTTCTCAGTGAATTCTTCAACCAGTATGTTCCTTTGTTCCTCTGTCACTATTGGTCCTTTTCTCACTAGATTGTTGCATACATGTGTTCTATCTTCTTTTGTAGACCCTAGCAGTTCTGTATAGAAGTCCACAAAAGCCCCTACTATCCCTTTCATGTTAGTGATCATACTGCCTTTAGAGTCCTTTATTGAAAAGATTTTGTTGACATTGCTCCTAGCCTTCATAAAGCTATGAAAGTATCTGTTGTTCTGATCCCCATGTTTCAACCATTGTACTTTGCTTTTTTAACTTAAGAACTGATCACTTGCTTGCTTTAATCTCATATACTTGTTTGCGAATTCTTGCTCCTTTTAAATGAGACTCTTATTGATGAGACTTTGTTGAATCTGCTTTTGACACTCCTCTAGCTTTTCCTTGGCTTGTTCTGCTTTCAGTTCTATGTCACTAAATTTATTTCTATTCAGTTGTTTGAGTACTCTCTTTAGTCTATTAAGTTTCCCCACTAGTTGATACATTTTGATTCCTCTGATTTCAGCAGTCCAGCTATCCCCCACTTTTTTCGTGAATTCAGGATCCATAGTCTACATGTAGAAGTACTTGAATGGTATGTTGATCCTCTGTTTTCCATTCTCCCAATTTATCATAGCTGGGTTATGATTAAACAAGCCCTCAGTCATATAGTGAACCATAGAAGTTGGCAGCTATTATTATTCATTAAAAATGGGTTGGATTGTGAACTTTTTAAAAGCGGGTTGAATATGGATAAGAACCATATTATCCATTTTGAAAATGGATAACCAATGGATAACTAATGGGTTAAGATTTTACATTTATAAAGTCTCAAATGGGGGGTTCCTCAAGTTTGGGAGACCGAAAATTCACCCAAAAGTGATCATATTCAATAAGTCATGGATAATATGGATATCCATATTATCCACCGGTTAATCCATTTGTTATCTGTGTGAAATATGGGTAAGGTCGGATAATTTATCAGTTTTGCATTACCCATTTTCGTCCCATATCCAACCTGACCCACCCGTCTGCCACTCTTAGCTCGTTGTAGTGCTGGAACAGCAATGAATCGATTGACAAATGGAATTGTTATCATGAGTTTTATATCATTATACAAAAGCATTACAATAGGGGTAGCTTTCTTTTTGTATGTTGGGATTGCACTCATAAGTTTTGTGTTTTTCTACACCTTGCTCCCTAAAACACAAGGTAAAACCCTAGAGGACACAAAGGCACTGTTTGGCACCTTCTTCAAGTGGAGTTCTACTATGAAAGA